CAAAAACAACAACTTTTTGAATGTATGTATAATCGCGTTCAAATTATTTTTACAAACCAGTGTGTCGTAATTCCTAATTCAAAAAGAGAATTTGTAAAAAAACATTTAAGCTTCCTATATTGGAAAGTTTCAGTTTAAAAAAGATATAGGTACTTTTTTTCTATGTTTCTGGAACACTAAACGACTTCTTATGTAATTTTTGTGATAAAAATTAATGTATAAATTTGTTTTTTGATTATATATTAAAACACACATGCTTTGGTAACATCAATTATGACAGATACAATAATTTTAGATCTACATGCTATGGGTATACTTATTTGTGTGTTGTAGTTTCCAAGAATGGAGTTTAGAAGTTATAAGTTACTCACTCACTGATGTAATCGAAAAAATTTAAAGGTTTTGTTTGAGTCACCTAAGTGTTTACGATGTTATTATCTATGTAAGGATTAGCAGCTACGGTATCACTCATTTACCAACCAGTCTTATTTTGTTGGTTTAAACGTTGAAGTAGGTACTTAATATATATATTATCATGCAATGATTAATATGGGTATCATCATGCAGTAAATATTTACACGATATCAGATTTTTATTGAATCATGTTTTGACTCATGCAAATATTTAACATTCATTCATACGGAGGTTGCACAGGCTTGTAGGTTGGTAAAATTCTCACGTACCCTGTACCAAGTGGCCACCTGTGGTTGGCGTCGATATCACCACCGAAAACAATATACAATACATATTATAAATACACGATTACATAAATTACTTATAAAATAGTAAATATAAATTTTCAGTCAATTAAAATATAAATTAAGAGATGCTTTTTATTTATAATACAGATGATTAAGATTGTTATGATCTCCAAAATTACTATGTAGTAGAATTATGATATTTATATAGCAAATACATTTTATTGAGGTTTTATTCAAAGTACAAAATGGCTGTAAACCAACTGTAAACGTATACCATGTGAAAGCGAAAACGAAAAATAAATCATTCTAAATTCAAAAGTGTTATTCGTTTTCGCGCCATTACTGCCGCTATCAGTCAGTATCAGCCAGTATGCAAATGTCAACCGCGGAGTGTGTATCACAGCATCCATCGCTCGTTCGGCGTGACCGGCGTCTACGTTTAAGAAATTACTTCCACGTAACGGTATGGGAACTGGTTTGTATTGTCGAGTATGTCGGTACGGTGTCGCTCTTGAGGAACGTAGCGATTTTTCCCCGAGCGATTTGGATAAGACTAGGTGCTGAATTGGGAAGTAAGGGGCTTGATACTCGTGATATAGAAATAAAAGATTTAGTAACCATTGCGGATGTTAAATTATAATAACCTTAGGCAAAAGCTTAGCTGAATTTTATGAACTCTTAGACCAGAAAAAATAGGGACGAAACTAAAATTCTTTTCATGTTAAGCTGCCAGCATTTATGTAGACTTCAACGTCCAACAACGCATGCCCGAGTCGTGTATTTTTCATTTTATATGGAAGGTCTCTGTTTTTCAGTTAATTTATTAGCATCAACATATGTAGTGGAGACAAAATTAGACTGACAATGAAGATATTTTTTTAGTATCGAAGATTCTTTAAACTGATCGATTCTCTATAGGATACTTATCTATGTAAGTTAATTATCGAACCGTCACTCAAGTGACTATGGCTAAGTCTGACCTTGGAATTATTGTTTTTACCAACGGTATGCTAATGAACATTCATTTGCTATATTATTCAGTCTTTAGAATTAGTAATAAGGAACATGCTTTATGGGATGTGCGACACGTTTTGATGCAAGTTATTTAAAAATTAAATATCTAATAGTGTTGTTTATTTATAATAATAGATATGCCTAGAGGTATTTACAATTTGTAATTTTACTTTACACAAAGTAAAACTAATCTCTGAAAATTTTCTCGATCGCCCATTTTGACCTTAGTCGTTTACTTTTATTTATGTTACTTAGCTAATTTTCTTCAAAATAGTGTATTGACTCTTTTTATTTAAGCACATCTGTTTATTTATCAACCAATTTATTATGTACCTTGAGTTCCTGTAAGACCACACAGTAATTTGATGTATAACACAAACTAAATTAATTATTGAAGGGGTATTATTTTTTTATTCCTTGATGTAATTTTAATTCAGCAGAGTTAATGAATTTAAATATCAATCATTCTTAATAAAATTAAAGAATTTTTCAATGAAATGTCCCGTCCACAATTGCCCACGTAAGTAGTTTCAATATTATAATAGAATTCGGTAACTAACCTTTATTGTTATTTAAGAGTTCGTAAACGACAGTTGCTCTATATTTTGATACTATATTGAATATTCTAAAGATTTAAGTAATTAATAAAATTATTTCTTTCATTGAATACTACAATAAAGAGTGTTTCAATTACGAACGAAATATTGAAACTCGGGCACTGAGCAGAAATTTTTCCTGTGGAACTTCATTAGACCCATACTTTAATTTGCATTTTTCGGCAGTTTTGATCTTACTATCTCTAAGCATTTCTGAAAACCTATGTTTCTGATTTCTATCGAAATTTATTATTTTTCATAAAAGCATGGTATTTAATGAATAGTATATTATAATGTGAGCTGAGCTGAGAATAAGTGAGAGTATTCGAGGCTAACCTCGAAAATCCCTAAAGATTTATACACTGACTAGCTTTCCGCTGACGGTCTTCGCCCGCGTGGTCCCTAGGGAACTGTCATATCATGTCAGGATATAATTACAATGACAAATTAATTAGTAAACTATGGTTACTATGGTAACGTTTTAATTCTGTATACAAACTTCCACTCCAATTTTCATCCCATTATTTGCTGTTTTTCGGGATAATATATATCCTATGTTCACCGCATATGATGCTTTTCGTAGGTGAAAGAATTTTTTTAATCAGTCCAGTAGTTTTCGCTGCAAACAATCAAACCTTTCTCCCTTATTATAATAATTATGTAGTTGAGTAGAAGTTATAATCGAAGCAAATATTTTTATCAAATAAACCATACTCCTGTTAGGTCCTGGGTAGCTCAGTGGTTAGAGCAGTCGCCCGGATCGCGAAAAGTGGTGTGTTCGAGTTTTATCTCAGAATATCTGGTGGATTTTTTAACCATTTTTCATTAAGGACAATAACATGAATTTGAAAGAAGTGAGAACTCAAAAGTTAGAATACTAATATTTAAAGTTATTAACAGCTCTTACTGCATTCAAAATCTTGTTTATATCAAGTCGTTATTTCTACTGGACTATAGATACGACTGGTAGTACCAAGTGCGTCGCTAAAGGGTAGCACGAGGGGCAACTGCCCAATAGAGATTCTAAAGAGAAGCACAATGTAAAAAAAGCCCAAGTCCTAAGTCTTTACTTGTTTGATCGATCATTTTCATACGTCAAAACTCGTATCCAACATTAAACTACGCTCTGGTCTATGCTATTGTTAAAACGACAGAAGAGGAGTGGTGTACATTCATACCCCTAAATTATTTTTATTCTATTTTTCTTATAAATGTAATAACTTATTTACAAGTTTTATTTATTCTATAGTCAAGAGATCGTGTAACTCTCCAAGTTGGACTTTGTACGTATTATGTAAAAAGCTTCATCTCCATAATCGACTTTTTCCCTCCTGGGCAATCGGATCGCGACGCCCCTGGGTAGTACTCATATTGTTCTAACACTGGAGTAAGGCTACGTACGCATTAGTGACTTTTCGTCACCTTGACTTTCTGTCAAGGTGCTATCCAGTGTCACCATGCTTGAGATTCCCTTAAGTTGTTGTCGCGCGCACTTGGACACGAGACATTAAAGCGAATTACATACAAATGACGGAGCACGGCGATAGGTACTATGAAAAACATCCTCAGTGCGCGCGTAGTCTTGTAATAATTTTAAAATCATTTTTACCATGTATTTTATATCGAGGATTGATTATTGCCTAAATTCTAAATTGTTTAACGTAGTTATTAAAAAAGTAAATTCAAAATTAAAAAGCTCTATATCCATGGTGATTTGTTTTAAAATTTTTAATCAATTTCATGTATTTGCTCTAAGTTTATTTATTAAACTTAATTGATCTCTTGTATTCGACATTTTCATTTTTATTTTTAACTAGTGGACGCCCGCGACTTCGTCCGCGTGGAAGTCGGTATCCCGTGGGAGTGAGAAGTTTTCCCAGTAAAAAGTACCCTATGTGTTATTCTGATGTATAACCTATATTGCTGTAAAGTTTTATCCAAATCCGTCCAGTAGTTTTTTCGTGAAAGAGTAACAAACATCCATACATCCATACTTACAAACTTTCGCCTTTATAATATTAATAGGATAGGATAGAATAGTTAATATAAAATAAGATTTTTTTTAGCATAAAGATGAGAAAGCTTTGAAGTCGTAAATTAATACGAGTATAATCGCACAGAATATTCTTCTAGTTAATTTTTAACTGTTGATACAGTTCACGAAATAATTATTATTATTGATCTGACTTACTACAAAGTCAGACAAAATAGTACTACTACTATTTTGTTATAAAATAGCCCACGACACGACGTCTAGCGCAGCGCTGTCAGCATAGTTTTAAAAGAAACCTGCTTCAATAGTGATAAAAGTTTTATATCATTGAACAACATATGTTGCAATGCTGTTTTCGACGTCGAGTTCGAGGCTATTTTGTAATATATAACGGGTGTTAAATAATTTCAATCATACTTTTGTGAAGCCGTTTCGAATTTCGAAACCTTTTAAAAGTTATACCGATGTCTTTATTGTAAGATGTAAAGAGTTTGAGGTAACCGTACCGATTCGCGTTTATGGTTCACCCCTTGTTCGATGCGGCATCGTGACACATCTCGACATTCGCAATCGTAAATCTTAACTTAATGATATTAAAGTCTATATTTCAAGGATGTCTGTATTACGGTTTACAATTCTTCTGTGCAGACGAATTGCGCCAAGTCTACACATATAAATGTTAATACTTATACTGACCTTCGGTAGTGCGGCCAGGCACTGCTGTTTTACGTCCCACACTAGTTGATCCCTCGGGAACTGCAGGCTCTTCTGCACGTTGAGCTCGGGCACGTGCACCCGCACCAACAGCCAGCCCTCAGCGCCCTCCGAGCACTCCCCCTCCATTACGCTACGCCATCTGTTGGCAATATCAAAATCCACATTAAGCACCCACTAATTGAAATTGAATTTTAAGGTTTTTTTATTTTTTTCTTCCATCTATTCAGGACGGATCGAATCATTAATAGAAGGTTGATTTCATAATCAATTCAAAAGAAATAAAGTTCAAATATATACAAAAACAAAGAAAATACTTCAAACGCACTTGGCATACATCAAATAAAAAAACGAAAAACAATATACCTAGAAATAACAGGGGATGAAGGAGAGGTATCTACTTTAATTGATTCTTTATTTCGCGCACTATGCTACCATCTGTCTGTATAACGTCTTATTATCTATCTTAGATACTAGAATATTTTCTTTGATTTTAACATTTCTCAAGTTAAATTAATCTTCAATATCTTCAAGTAGTTACCTTTTAATTGATATTACTCGTACCTAAATTTTATTCTTATGTAAGAGCTTATCTCCGGAATCCCTAAAAGTATACATGTAAATGGAATCTTGACGTAAATATACGTTAAGAAATGATTTACTGGAATCCTCGGAGAAGGCTACACGAACAAAATTCCGGGAAAAATTTAATTCGATAATTCTGACTCTTCTATAAATGACATGAATAAAAGAATTTGCTTTTTTTAATTTCTTACGAAGACTCTTTGGTATTTTACGTACAGGCAAAAACATTTAAGTTTCTAAAGTTTAAAAAAAATACAGCTTTTTGCCAAAATGGAATGGGCTATGTACCCGCCAGTGTGGATTGGTGCGTAGATTTTAGATGCAGCCAAGACCAACAACGTCTTAACGTGCCTTCCAAAACACAGATAAGCTCGAGATAATACATTTTCCAGTCACCCATCTTATGTCCACCCTAGCAGAAGCTGCTTATCTTTAGTATCGCAGACCGAACTTAAGCACTGTGCCACTGAGCTCCTCAATAGTATATAAGTAAATAGAAAAGTATAATTGTGACGTCATACAAATAAATTGGAGTTATTTCCCCTAAAAGGTTCGTTAACTATTTGCAAGCGTCGTCGACCGGTCGGTCCAAGGCTCCATCGCCATCCGGTTGCGTTTCTATGAACTTGGAATAATGTGTCTAATACGATAACTTGGCGCCAGGCAATTATCGCACCTTCCAAGAAAAATGACAGCGAATTGACTGGCAATGTTTTTCCACACGAAAGTGACGACATGGAAAATTACCGATTGTTTGGAATTCCATAAATGCCGATAAAAGGTATTCAAAATAGATTTGAAATAATGTAAATTTTTATAAAGAAGTTTCATCCAGTTAATTATGGAAAATATATTCCGTCGTGGCTGTATATAAACTTATTCCATGTTAAGTTATTCGTAACAAAAGTAATGCGTCAGGGAAAATCGCAGAGAGAAAAGAAATCAAACAGTCAATAGGTAAAAATTACTTCAGTTTACTTTTTCCTTTATTATTTTTACCCCCATTATAATGACATCGGGAATAATGGAGTCCATAAATTATTTTCCAATGTTAATATTTTTATTTTATAATATCTGTTTAAATGTAGTATGTTTATACAGCGTTGATTTATGTAAGATATTGGTGGAAAATCTGTTGCACTATATAAAATCTGTAATTTTAATTTATTTTAGGTAACATTGTTCTGTCATTACATGTAATCTATTACTTATTTACGTACATACAGAATAGAAAACTCAACTTGACAAACTAAATTTAAATGATATAATTAAGATTATATCCATATATATATATATATATATTTTACTAGCTTTCGCCAGCAGCTTCGCCCGCGTGGTCCCTAGGGAAATGTTTAGTGGCATCTATATACCAAATTTTATCAAAATCCGTTCAGTAGTTTCGGCGTGATTGATGGACAAATATCCAAACAAAGAAACTGTCACATTTATAATATTAATAGGATAATGGTATTAAAGTTTGCATTAGTTTAGAAAGAAGTACATCAGACGCGGCAAGATTGTTATTGTTTCTAAATGTATAAATTATTTTATGTCCGAAGTTAATTTAGTAAAGGTCTGAAATCGTATAAACAACTTAACTGAATAAATTACCTTTTCCTAAATTGAAAAGCGGGTTCCGGGTTTTACGATTGAATACATTTAACAAAGGTTTGGTTCTAACTCATTTCCGAGTTTAACGACGATATCAAACCACGGGATATAAAATGAGATCATAATATAAGTACAAACATGATAGGTGACGTATATTGGACATATAACTGCGTGGATTTAAAAACTTCGTTAATCTTAAACTGATATTTAACGAGTTTATTTACCGTTTACTTTTAGTAAACTATGAAATCTGTGAAAAAAGTTAATCAAACAAGATATTAATATTGTTATATGATATAACATGATCACTTAATACAACAAGATATTAATATTGTTATATGATACAACATGATAGGACATCATTACTTTCATAGATAGATAGTCTCTATGAAAGTAATAATAAGGTGATTTTAAATGAGAAAGTATTAAAAAAAAAACGAAAGCACTAAAAAGCACTTCCAGTAGATGGCGACTCTAGCAAAAGTTGATTTTTTGCAGGAAACGAATGGACCAAAGACAGTCATTTCCGTTCCTTTTGACTAACATATTAAAAAACTGAAATTAAAAAAGTTCGAAACTTAGATATCAATACAAATACGAAAAAGTACAAATAGAATACGAGTTGTTTATCGAGTTTTGAAAACTAATTTACTTTTAAACTTGAAAGAAAACCGAAAAGGTTGTCATGGAGAAATCAAGATTGTACCGTAGCGACATCTATTTTGATATCGGGAACTATTTGTTTTTAAATACTTTCTCGTTAGACTGAACAAATGGTTGTAAAATTGGAAATAGACGTCGTAAAATTTTGTTTTGGGAAAAAGTAACAAGAATTATACTCAATATACGTAAATAATAGGTAAAATCTTTAATAATGTTAAGTTATATAATCAGGAAACCTTGTTGATGAATCGACAAGTAATTCAGCACGGGCAGTTTTTCTTTTCTCTTTTAGTCCATAGGTACAGATTTTTCCAAGTGAAAAATGACCTCGTCACATAACGATTTAGGCAAACATCGAGTGTCCCGATCTGTGCTCTGTATTATCATGTGTCAGCATATATTACATACGAGTAACGCGCAATATTCCACGTTCAGTTTCTAGTGAAAACGGAAAGTTAATCAAACAATGACCACCGTTTTTGTTTGAAGTGTTAATTTAATTATCAGACACCTTTCTATGGTAACGGTTGGAATGTAGGTTTCTGCAAGTTCATCGAGGTAGAAATGTTTGAATTGTCGAATAACGGTGATAACTTTTGACATTTAATTGAATAAATTTTACTTGATGATTTCATTAATTTTAAATATTGGACAGCATCACACTTGTAATCAATTTATAACAACTAATTGATTTAAATTGTATCCAAAATTTAGCCCTTGTGATCTCTCAACATGTATTTTTCACGTTGAATTAACGTTTTTGAGAAAAAAAAAAAATTCACAAGGGTTGAAACACAATGTGTCGTTGCATGTAGGAAGTGGCGATGGGCTGGGCACGTTACCCGCAGGACAGACGGCTGGTGGAACAACAAGATACTGGAAATGGAGTGTCTGTCGGCTGGAGAAAAAGGAAGGTAACAGGTACGACCTAGATGGGCAGACGTCCTCCAAGAACTCGCACTGCAACTGGCGGGGAAGAACTGGCGAAGAAAAGCTCAGCAGCAGCAGGCGCGAGGGATAAATTACTTCTAAAGATAATCTGAAAAGTCATATTTATACTTTTAATCGTCTGTATTCTACGAATTATCAAACAATGAGAAACAATTATTCACAAATCCACAACGCCATCTATTAACGGAAAGCAATATTAACAACTACCATATAAACAAAACCCTATCCGTTTACCTTGCGCGTTCTGAATCGTGATGGCCATACGTTACACGGGGCAGCTATAAGTCGTGCAGATGTATCGCCCTGTCCGTCTACAGTAGACCATTCATGGCGGGTACCAAATAAATTCCCCATTTATGGACCTTTCTATTCCAGAGGTTGCTTTAAAAGGTTACCCGGCTAGTTGAATAATCACTTTCACAACAAATTACTTATTAATCTTAAAGATTAATACGTAAGTTGTAAAACTAAAAACTACTTAATTGTGTTTTTTAACACGACTGAATGATTTTGAATAATGCAAGTTGTGACCTCGAGTAGTTGTTTTGAGCGATGTTATTCCAATAAGCTCAAAAAGTGACTAACATAAAGAAGGTTATAACTTCAAATGGTTCCAGGTTGCTATCTTATAGTAAAGTAAAAATAGACACAAAACAAAAATATAGTAATGATATTACTGAAAATAAAATTAATATATGCTGTTACTGTGAAACCTGTAAACGATAACCAAATTGTAGTAGACACACTATCACCAAGGTAATTACAACGTGTCAATGGCGTTTTAATTTACAGTTTTTTTCATAATATTCGCAAAATAATGAAATAATAATAGTTGGCTGTAGGTAAAACGCAATTGAAGTGCCACTATTTCATTAATATTAGTAGTATTGAGCCCTTACTTACTACAAAAGTTTGAACAAGCAATTTAGAACTTAACTGACAGATTAAGGAATTTTGCTTAGCTCAACGTTCTGTTGACTGTATTATAGATTAATAAAGATCGAATTTATGAGTACTAAAGTCGAGCAACTTAAGACACAATCAAAGGCGTGAAATTATTGTTTTGACGATCGATGACCTTAAGTCAGATTAATAATTAACATCGACTTTAGTTAATTGCTTCAAAACATTTAGATAGCTGGAAACAGGTTAATTAGTCGAATAGAGATAACATTATTCAGTTCAAAAGTTACCAGTATATGAGTACATGTAACGTCTTTCGTATGTTATTCGAACGACATCCTTATAACAGTGAAGTGAATAAGATTTATAACGCTCCGACACGTTATTTCATCATTATAATAGGATATGTCGCAAAT